CCACCCACCCACCCAGCCAACCAAGCAACCAACCACCCAGCCAGCCACCCAGCCAACCACCCAACCAACCACACACCCACTCAACCACCCAGCCAACCAACCAACCAACCACCCAACAAACCAATCAAACCAAAAACCAACTAGAAGCCTTTTTTTCATCTTACAGCAAAGTTGGTCCACTGTATACTCCTTCAAAGGCGTCTTTGTCAATAGCTGTCAGATATTTATTCTTGTTTAGGTAACTAGACAGAATATGAGAGAGAGTAAAAAGAGAGAGAATGAAGTGAGTCTTGCAAGTTTAAACCATCACACAGAATTAGGATAAATACCAAAATAAAATGTGACCAAGGCCTCCCTAGCTGTTGGTTTAGAAGGCACTTTATTTCTTATAGCTTAAGCACTCTGACCATTCTGTGTTCCAGTTATATAAAGTTTCACCATGGCAGGAGTCTTTGAAAGTGAATTATGTTTAAGGTATAGTTTGCATAGCCAAATGTCATCAAAGTTGCTCAAATTTCATATTTACTAGCAATTATGTTTTCAATATTAATACTAACTGAAGGAACTTTTGCTTCTAAATATTGACCATTATTCCCTGTTTTTTTGAAGCTAGGACTTGTAAAGAGTGGGATGGAGGTGGTAAAGGCGGTGGGTGGTGACAGGGATTGCCAGAGACTTGGATCTTTCCTTTGAGCAGAGTTGCCATAGTTAGTCAGTAAAAATACATGATGCCAGTTTAATTTTAATTTCAGATAAACACCAAATAATTTTCTAGCATAAATTTCCCCATACAAAGTTATCTGAAATTAAAATTTAATTGAGTGGCTTATACTTTACCCAACAGCACCAGTTTCAGTGTAGGGGCTGTTGATGTACATAAGATTATAGCATATCCCTGTCAGAAAAGTGTTTCATGGGTATGTTGGTCTTTCCACTTTTAAAATCCTCTGGCCATTTGAAAGCATAACATTTTTTTTAAATTATTTAATAACCATATGATTAGAAGCATTTCATTACAGCATTAACATATTCAATAACAATTTCCAGAGCAAAGATGCTTCTCTTTCAAAATTAGCTGTAAATTTTGAGGTTCACAGTTAAATTAATACAG